AGGCCGGGACACCATAACGGGTCATGACCACAGGAGGAGGTTGCGCATGCAGGTGAGGCCTGGAGTGGACATGGACAGGGCCAGGGGGGCCGGCCCGCAGCCTCTGTGGCCGAGCACAGGCCTTGAGATGAGATGGCGGGCACACCTCCAATGGAAGCAGCGCAGCTCCCTCCCACCTGGAGGAAGTCCAGGAAACCTCAGGTGGGAGGCAGTGTAGCTGACAGGTAGAAGCAGACCTCAGGAAGCCTTGGTCCAACCACAGATCTGCCCCCATTTCTAAGCTAAACAAAGCAGACCCATTTACACAGATTGGCCCCTCCCACGCACATACAGGCCTAGTAGACACTGACATAAAGAGAGAAAAGAGTGGTAACTACACCTGGGTGGATCAAGGCCAGTTACATACAATTTTTGACAGCAACCACATCTGAAACCTACCTAAAGGGACCCAGAACCAACACAACCACTAGTGGGTTTCAGAACACACAAGAACTCAACCCCAATAGACACACAAACACCACACTCAAAGGTAGATCAGGGCAGGTTCCAGTCCCTACTGGGAACAACCCCACCTCAGGGGGCAGCCCCTGCACAGCATTTCCTACACAGTGATAGTGGTTTACCTTTATAGACACCTAGCCTGAAGGGCTACGATTGTGCCACTGAGCCCATCAAACCACCTCGAGACAGCAGTTTGTATGCCAGACCATAGTCAGTTGGCCTGAAGTCAATACCACCCACAAAAGGGCCATAGTAATCAGGACCCAATTACAACAGGAGAGCCTACACAACCCAAACAAGAAACATTCCAAGCACCCTGCACAGGAGATCAAGGAGATTGCAACATTCAGACACCTACTATGTGGAAGGCCACCACACAAAGACTAGGAGAAATGGTGTTCTATGTCATACATAGAAACAAACACAAAGAGACAGCCCAAATGGGGAAACAAAGAAACAGGCCCCAAATGAAAGAGCTTTTCCCAAATTCACTACTAAGTCAATCTTTTGTGTCAAAAAAGAAATGAATGAGAGAAACAGAAAGAACAAAAATAATAACCAATTAAAGTAAAAGCTAACATCCATTAAGTACTTATTATATCACAGGTTCAACCCTAAATGTCTTTGATGGATTAGCTTATTTAACCATCAAAACAATCCTGTCCTGTGAGCATGGAACAAATTGACATACCTTGATGTGGACTTGGGGGACAAGAAGAGATAAATCAAGGAACTTATCCTATATAGTAAAAGGCTAATATGCAAATTATCCCGTCAACCAGGAGTTCGACCAGGGGATGGGGCCAACCAGCCAACCACCTTTGGACCCTCCCCCCAGCCAGCCCTGCCCCTGATCGGCTCCCCACCCCGATCCAGGGCAGGGCCGGCCCTATCGGCCCCAATCAGGGCAGGCCGGCTGGACTCCACCCATGCATGAATTCGTGCACCGGGCCTCTACTATACTTATATGCATAACCCATGGACACAGGCAATAGGGTAGTGAAGACCTGGGGCGGTGAGTCAGGCCAGGGAGGAAGGGGGGAAAGGAGCGGAAATGGGAGACATCTGTAATATTATCAACAATAAGAAATATATTTAAAAACCCCAACCATGTGAAATAGGCACTATTATTGTCCTCCTTTTGCAGATGAAGACACAAAAGTATAGGAAGGTGAAGAACTTTCACTTTGCGTGGAACCATGCCTGGGGAGGTAACTCTTCAGCTTATACTAAGGCACAACTAGAATACTGACAATCCACAGTCATCTGTAAAACTGTGTAGACCTATCCATTTTCCAATTCTACTTGCTTTCACTTTTCTGACATATCACCATAGGTTTATACGGTTCATTTTAATATTTCTTTGTACTTTAAACAGAGCTTACAAAATTGTGAAATCATAACATGTTATAGCTGCAAAGATTTTGGAATTCACATACTCAGATTTTTTACTTTAGAGATGAGAAAGCTAAGATGTAAGACAGCTAAAGTACATGCCTCAAGTCATCAAGCTGGTTGTACAAATATATGAACCTGAACCTAGTTCACCAGATCTTTCAAGTGTCCTTTTTTCATTCAATCAATACATCAATCAATTGAATAAGTGAAGAAGCAAGCAGACAAATACTGGCATTTTCATTGCTATAGATATTCCTCTTCTTAAAAAATTAAATTGCTTCAAAAATTTTTTCTAGTTGCTCTGACTTAAAACATTACTTTCTCTGCAAAAAAAATTTACCTGGGAAAAAATACATTTGCTAGAAGTATTGGCAAGTGAATTAGAATAGACTTTTATGATACCTTTTCTATCAATCTGAAAATGATTTACAATACTCACATGAAATAAAATTTACCATCACCAGTTCTGTAGTGGAGCAACCTCTAAGAACTAGAGTTGGGAGGTTAATAACACTTTAGAAATGTATGTTTCAAACCCCCACTCTTACACTTAGACTACTAAGCCATGCTGTTTCTCATTTTTCTGCAGTGTTTAAGGAATCATCTGCTTAAAAATGGTGGCTTGTCTCGTTCTTCAGATGCCCCCTTTGCTATGTACAAATCCCACATGGGTTTGAAGCTCAGCATAAGGTTTTCAGAGGGCCCTGGTGGGTTGTGGGGGG